GCTCCATCCGTGGCAGTGTTTAAGGCCAGGTTGGACGAGGCCTTGGGTGATATGATTTAGAGCAAGGTGTCCCTGCCCATGGCAGGGGGGTTGGAACTTGACGATCTTAAGGTCCTTTCCAACCCTAACTATTCTATGATTCTATAAAATCAGAAGTTTTATTTCTAGCAAGGTAGCCTGTGCATCAAAGACGGGCAAATATTAATCCTGAAGATGCTATAAAACACAAGTGTGCAAAGTGAAAAGAACATTGTCCTGAGACTTACTAAAGTTGGAAAAGAACATTAGCCTTCAAAGTGAAATATTTTACAGGTTAGCCAGCCAAGAACAATGAATGTTCATGTAACATAAGGTCTGCCTAGGGAGGCACAGGTAATAACTATTCAGTTCAATTACTTGATACGTTTTGTCTTTGTTCTACTGCTCATTGCTACTGGAGCTTCTTTAAGCTGACAATTTGGAACTTGAGGTAGAGACAGAAAGCCAGATGTTTCCAGGACACAAAGTCTGAGGACGGGTAGTGTATCTTGGAAATGAAGTTGTGACCTTCCTGAGTTTTGTCTCTTTATATGCTCTCCTTTTTCCTAGCAATTGGTTTCCCAGGCTAGATCTTAGCCCATCCCTGTGTGTGGTCCTGGAGACAAAGGTCTGCTCAGGTACTGGCATATGGGAGAAGCTTTGGGCTGCTGCTATATAGCATAAAAGTGATGTGCTTACATCTTAAGGCAATTGTTTGAATAGGAATTTTTTCTGTCTTGTTTTCCATTCCTTTAATTTCTTCTCCTATCAGCCTTTTAAGAAGCTTCCCCTTTATAATTGAGAATTATCCACTTTTCTTTACACACAGCTCTTAAAAACTTGAGGTTCTGCTTAGTGAAGTGCAATCACTGTCTGGTTTCAATCTAGCCATTGTGAGGGAAGAATGCATTGCTGAATTGTAGTGAAAGCTATTTGGAAAAGGAATACTGAATCAGTCACCGTGTGCACATAACATTCACGAATATTCCTTATTCCTTCAGTTGTGCCTGACAGTTGACTTACAATTTTAACACAATTGCTCTCTTTAAAGTTAGCTTCAGTAATGAGGACTACTTCCAGTTTTATTGGGATGTGAATGTACCAGCAGTTATATTTGGACTTTTGGAATCAGGTCTGTTTTGACGACTGCTTTTTATGCTATTTAAGAGATGTGCAGATCTGAGTAATAATTCATTATGCTTTCAACAGATACCAGCCACTTGAGTTGAGCCCTTTCCCATGAACAAAGAAAGTTTGTTTTGCAATTGAAACTCATCTTTTTAAGAAAATGCTAATGGGTCTGATAACAGTGAAAAATGTAAACTGCAAACAAACCAAATTTATTCCTCTCAGAAGGGGAAGATGGGATTTGTTACCATGGTGTTGTGGTTTAACCCCAACCAGAGAGCTTTCACTCCCTCACTCCCCCCTTCTTGCCCTCCCCATACTCCTGGGGGAATGGAGAGGAGAATCGAAAAGAAATGCAACTCCCATGGGTTGAGATAAGAACAGTTTAGTAACTAAGGTATAACACAAATCACTGCTGCTACCACCAATAATAGTAATGATAAAGGAAATAACAAGGGAGGAGAATACAACACCCCATCACCAGGCGACCAATAACTTGCCCCCCCAGCCCGATCAAGCACTGACTGATACCTCCTCCAATCCTGCAGTTCACCTAGCCCTTCCGGGTAACTCCCAGTTACCTCCTGGGCATGACGTGCTGTGGTATGGAATACCTCTTTGGTCAGTTTGCGTCAGGTGTCCTGTCTCTGCTTCCTCCTGGCTTCCCCTCCTCCCTGGCAGAGCATGAGGCTCACAAAGTCCTTGGCCAAATCAAAACATCATTTTTATCAGCTCTGTTCCCAGCCCGAAAGTCAAAACATAGCATTGAACCAGCTACCAAGAAAGAGAAAAATGACTGCTACTGCTGAACCCAGGACACATGGACACAGGTGGAGCACAAGAGACAAGGTGGTTTTGTGCAGAAATACCTGCAAAAAGATTCAATCCTGTTTTGAGGCTCAGTATCAGGATGTCAGGTAACTGAAGCAGAAGGAAAACACAAGGAAGCAGGAAGCAGAAATGCAGAAGTTACATGAGGCTGTGGACAGAAATTTACTGTGATAGGTTGGCTGGGTCAAGATTGCTGGTCTCCTCATCGTGTCCTGCTGCAGAAGGCACAGGGTCCCATGGCAGTGTGGTATCTAGTAATCCATTTTAAATGAAAGTATGGGTCTAATTCAAGTAGGCTAATTAAACTGTTTATATTGTTATACTAATTCATGCTATTATACTAATTGCTGCTGGTTGCTTTGCACGAAAGGAGCTAGGGAGAGAACACAGCTGCCCATCTGAGGAAAGCTGGTAATGGGTTCAAACTTAAACAGGGGAAGTTTAGATTGGATATAAGGAGAAAATTCTTTCCTGTTAGGGTGGTGAGGCACTGGAATGGGTTGCCCAGGGAGGTTGTGAATGATCCATCCCTGGCAGTGTTCAAGGCCAGGTTGGACAAGGCCTTGGGTGATATGTTTTAGTGTGAGGTGTCCCTGCCCATGGCAGGGGGTTGGACCTAGATGATCTTAAGGTCCTTTCCAACCCTAACTATTCTATGATTCCATGGTTCTACTCAAGTGAAAGAACTTTTCTACTCATTTACATATTTTTTTTACATTCACAAGCAGGAAAACTTAGTGGATTGATGCTTACAACAGCCCTGCCAAACAGCTGTGCGTAATGTCTCAGCATTCTCACTCTAGAAAAGACACGTGAACAGAAATGGCAGGAACTGGCAATGAGTGTAACAAGGAAACTTCCCTTTTTCCTTGCTTTGTCCACTCATCTTCTCCAACAGTAGTAACCCTCACGTGCCACCTACTGTTACTTCTCTTCAAATATACTCCTTAAAGATTTTGACCTTTCTCATCATTCCATAGAGAGGAGACATTAACAGGAGAGGCGTAACGACTGAAAAGTCTCACAAGAACTCAACCAGACCTATGCCAACTTTACTGAACAGGCTTCTCTGGACTTCAGCTCACATCCTCCAGGTTGCAATGCCCATGATTCAGAAGCACACTGAAAGTCATCAGCGCCTTTCAAAAAGCAACTGGTTTGCTCTTCACTAATTTGTTTGGCATTTTGAGGGATTTAGCAAGTCTGCAATTAGCTTGTCAGGTATTTGAGGACATTGTGTCTCATTTTGTTACAAGTCTGCTTACAAGAACAGTGGCCTGGCACACAGATAGACAAGACTGGGTAGAGAAGGGGTACCAGACACCTGAGAAAAGGTGCTGGATTTACAAATATGCAAATTATAGGTAGAATAACAACTTGTCTTTATTTTTTTTTACTCTGCTGAATTTATAGTGAAAGGAAAAATGTACCCTTAATTTTGACTTGACATTACAGGTAAATATTTATGTCCCTTGATGCAGCACATATAAAATCTATTTAAAAATCTGTCATATGAGGCTACAGTCTAGACAAGAAAATGGCATGGGTGCACTAATGTGACACCAAGGAATTTATCAACACAGTCAATAGCATTTGGAAATGACAAAGCATCCTGGCAAATGCCTCAATATGAAGTGCTACTTTTTTACTGGAAAAAAAAATAAAACGCAATATACAATTAGTATATTGTGTTGGTGCTAATGTATGTCATATTTTTATTTGATCTAAACATTAATTATTATGCTGCACATTATTATAACATATCCTGGGCTGCATGAAAAGAAACATTACCAGCAGGTCAAAGAAGGTGATTCTCCCCCTCCACTCTGTTTGCGTGAGACTGCACCTGGAGCATTGTATTCAACTCTGAGGTCCCTAAAGTAAGAAGGATATCAAAATCCACGAAGATGATCAGAGGAGGGCGGGAGCACCTTTCCTGTGAAGACAAGATTGTTCAGATTGGAGAAGAGAAGGGTCTGGAGAGACCTTAGAGCAGCTTTCAGTGCCTAAATGGGCCTACAAGAAAGCTGCAGAGGGACTTTTTACATGGGCGTGTAGTAACAGGACAAGAGGCAATAGCTTTCAAGTGAAAGAGGGTAGATTTAGATTAGATATAAGGAAGAAGTTCTTTATTGTGAGCATGGTGAGGCACTGGCACAGGTTGTCCAGAGAAGCTGTGGTTGCCCCACTCCTGGAAGTGTTTATGGCCAGGTTGGTTGGGGCTTTGAGCAACCTGGCCTAGTGGAAGGTATCCCTGCCCATGGCAGGATGCTGGAACTGGATAAGCTTTAAGGTTCCTTTCAACCCAAACCATTCAATGATTATCAGAATTCATCATATGAATTTATTTTCCTTAGTAAACTAAGCAGAATCAAGATGTAGAAATAAATGCACATCTCATTTTCTTCAGAGTGCAGCAGTGAATTAAAGAAAGACTAGTCATAACAAAAACTAAGCTTTATGCAAAAACAAACAAAAAATTTTAAACTCTTCTAGACCACTATTTTCTAGCTTGATTTCTATATATAGCAATGACATTCTCCTGTTGCCTTTACATTTCTGCTTTCACTGTAACATCTCATTCCATGTTGTGTCTTTCTTACGCCTTAGTCTTGCTGACATGTAAAAACAAAGTAACGAATAATAGTAATTTTGGTAGGGATACTAAATTACATGCCTCAGCCTTAAGCCAATCTCTAATGATCAATGACTCACAGCATAATGGGGAAAAAAAATCTTTTATATCAAGAAAAATAAAAGAATCTTCTGAAAATCAGTATGAATTTCTTTTTAATGGGAGTGACCAAGGAGCAATTAAGGATCTCTGCTTTTATCAATTACAGCTGTGCATTCCTATGATATTCCTTACCAACTGGCAGATGGTAGAGATTTATGAGACACAGAGACAGACAGGCAGAAAGAAAGGCAGGCAAAGAAAGACAAAGGAAAAGATGTTTAAAAAAAAACAGGTTTAGGAAGCTTCACATTACAGATAGGGAAAAGAAAGTATATCACTCAGTTACCTGTAACTAGAAGCTTCTACCCTGTAACTGCTGGTAAGAACTCAAATGTTCCTCAGAGTCACAGCCTCAGCAGTAAATTGAATGATTCTTCTGTAAACCACAGATGTTTCCACCAGCATTAACACTTTCATGTTGTATGCAAGTCAAAATTCAGGGCTCTAAACTTACTTTGCAACTTGGCTTTCATCAAATGGAGTTTCATACTTAGTACAAGAACAACAAAAATATATCTTTAGTTTAACCATATAACTTAGTAATCATATATGCCACATGTTTATGGCACAGCTATTATATGTTTTGGCTGTACCATAAATAAGGCATGTAATAAATCAATAACTAAATGATTCCAACATTAAAAAACCAATGATGTTCTGCTACATTTTCTATGTTATCCTCCTTTCTGTAATAATAAAGTGGGAAAGGGTTTCTAGAAGTGAAATGAGAGCTTTGGAAGATTTAAAGATTCTTAGTAGACAAGTAAAATTGCACAGAATGATCACTCAGTGTGTAATCATTCAAAAAATATCATAAAAGAAAGCACTGAACACTTTCACAGTGCCCAAGGAGACACAAATGTTCTTTTGGAACTGCTGGTTTAAAAGAATACTGTTATCCTCAGCAATTACTAGAGGCAATAATTTAATACCCTTAATAAATTTCTTAATGGTATAAAGCACTCTGTCAACGAAGTTATCTCATGCCAAAGTGATTAAAGTAAAATTTTTCACTGTTATTTACTACAGTAAACCAAAACTTCAGCATCAGAAAAATATCCCATGTAAAAAGCTAATTTCAAGAAAATTAAAAAATCAGCTAAAATTATTAAGCATGTTATGGTCTAAAACAAGATTGGAAAGTCAGAAAAATCTCATATTCAAAATCCCTACAGCCATCACAAAAGCATGAAGCACTTTATTAATAATGAGATCATTATACAATCCTGAAATCTACATACATTCACTTTAAGCTGTTTGAAGAAGGCTATATTACTTTTTAATGTTCATATGAATAAAGAGTTGAAAGCCTGTGCCTTGTCAAAAAACAACATTGAAAGTAAGTAAGAAATCATTTCCTCTATCTGTGGATTTTCTTTCTCCTTTAGGTTCTTAAGTATTATTCTTGCTCATTTTAGTCTCTCAAAGTGTTAGGGATTTTGACATTTCTCGGAAATGGTGGCGTTGATTTCAGTGCTAGTTTATGTTACTAATATTTCAGCAGAATCTACAAGATTTCACTGAATATCACAATCTATATTTTGTTGAGTAAACCAAATTAATAGCTAGCTCATAAGTATTCACCAAGTGACTTGTCTGAATGACTTTCAGGCAACGAACTTATAATGAACCATTCCCTTCCTTGACTTAGTACTCATTAGGCTCAATAGCTAACCTGAGCAGGTCTGATTTTGAGTGACTGCAACTCTACTCAGAATATAAAATCATAAAATTAAAATGACTTCCAAGATTAGATCTAAAACTACAGATGCTACAGTTAGTAAGATACAGCAAACAGTACAACCAACAACTATTGTACATTAAAACTTCTACAAAGATAGGTGGGTAAAGTTTCTACCCATGTATTTATGCAGTTTCTCTCCTGGAAGCTCTGTATAAAGCCCTTTGGAGAGAAACCTATTTAGGACATTTCAATTAAACAGTCTGTCTTGCTCCTATCATGCAGAAACCTGTAGGGTTTCTTTTAATACACACAGGAAACACCCAATACCTTATCTCACTGTATGCTTGGAAAGGTTGCATGAGGTTTTACCTGTGGGGCTAAACTGGGGGGAGAATAAAAGACAAACTGTGTTGATAAAACAGGAAAAAAAGAATAAAAAATAAAAAAAGTCCTCATTCTTTTCATTGTGTCAGAGTTACCACATAATCAGCTTTCCATGTGACAATTCACAGTATTCACTTTAGCCCTATCCTTAACTTTATCATGGAAAAGATACATCAGAACCAAAACCAACTCTCCATTTATTTCAACTCTTCGGCAGGTGGGATTGAGTTCAAATACAGTGAGTAATGTTCCTTTTACCAACATGAAATTTAAAGATTTATATGACGCTTGCCACCTTGTCCTCCAGTCTTTCACATATATAGGCATTTTTAAAATAACATGAGCTATTTGAAAATCTCTTGCAAAGACAAAGCATATTAAAATAGATATATCAACACCAGTTCACTTTCATGAATAGCATCCTCTCATGGAACCTGTTGTTTTACTCTGTGTCTAAAAGAAACCCGCTTCAGGAGTTTCAGTTCAAGTACAGATCCATCCCACTTAAAACCAGCCAGTGATCACTCCATTTGTTTTTTCAAACACATCTATTTTAATTAGGAAAAATTTATAACATGAGGAACTTAAGTGAGAAATACTGACTTGTACATCTTCAGAGAACACTGACCATATTCCAAACATCTCCGACACCAAACTCACTACTAAATATAAAGCAAATGTTCTACACTCACCAAAACAAGAAAAGAACTAAGCTGTGACACCTTTTCAGGATTAATTTAAAATTAACAGGTATCAGATAGCTACACAGATAGCTATAGACATGGAAAAAAATATTTAAAATTGTAATTTAACTAGAAGAAAAGTTCCTATATAAAAAGCAGCAGAGACAGAAGGTCTGAGGATTTTTTTCGTTACTACTGGTGGTTACATTTCTTTTAACTTTATCATTTTACTTTCAGAGGAAGTTGGCATAAAAAATTTGGAATATGTTTTTGAGTATGTAATATATTAGTTCAATACATTTGTTCAGCCGCAGATGCCAATTAACATTTCTTTGTTATTTCCTACTTCTCATAATCTCCTTTTACTGTCATTGCAAATAATGGCCATCATATAATGGAACAAATTCTCAGACTATTAAGTCCCAGATGAAATGGGGAAAAAAAAAGAAGGTGTAACTGAATACAAACCACATAGAATTAAGTTAGTGGGGATGAGAATCTTCTGAAAACTTGCGGAACTTTATTGTTGATTCACTTTCAGCTTTTCCTTCAATAGCTGTATGTACGGAAGAAATAAACTGATCTGATGTTTAAAGACACAAAAAACCAAAATTCCAAGGTCTGAAGTTCTACTGGCTCGGTAAGCAAGATTAGTTCAAGATAATTACATGTGCAATTTTCTACAACTACCATGAGGAATGACAGTATTTTGAAATTACCATTTGCAGTGGTTTCTGATCCTGCAACATTGCTTCTCAGTAGGTAAGAAATTAATTCTTCCTTCTCTCTTTTACTTGTCTACTTCTGTTCACCTAATGTAAAATAAAACAAGCCCCCCCCCCCCAAAAAAAAAAGCTGAAAAATAAACCAAACACTCCACAACAAGACAAAGAACAAAAAATCCTAATGAAAGAATACCCTCTAAATTTCTGATGAAAATATTCTAAAGTGTCAACATGAGTCCATTAAAAATTGAACAAAGCAAAAAACATTCCAGTAACTTTCTTGATGGCATGAAAATTCAAGTAATTGAGAAAAGACTATTATTCCCTATAGAAACAAAAAAGGCTTTAAACCATTTAGAATAGAAAAACCCACAAAGCAAAGGTTTAATTTTAGCACTCATAATTATGGTAAAAAGATAAAATACTCTGTAATAAAATATTTTGTAGGAAGTTTCTCCCCTTAGTTACCACTAAAAACTCTGTATCTTCCTTCCTTCATATCATCTGGCTTTCCAAAGTATCAAGTCAAGCATTGCCAGACTTTTATGAGGTTCGGCCATCTATCTTTTGTTAAGTCCCTTGGAACCAGCAGAGTACTGGGAAAAACTTCCATCACACTGGGAGAAAAGCCATACAGTGCTGCACATGTTTACAGTTATTTTAGTCCCAGAAGCTTTCTCATAAGTGACATTGGTATAATTGGAGGTATTTGTCAGCATACCCTAAATAAACTGGTTTGCTACATTTTAAATATTCTATCTTACAGCCTGTGATAATGAAATAAAACAGAATATAAAGCTGAAGATATGAAAGATATTTTAACCTGGGACTCAACTTCTATTGTTAGGTATAACCAGGACTGAGATATGAGCTTCTCCCACCTCTGCAGGCAGTAGATAAAAGCAGACCCTGGTGTCAGGTTGTTTAGCTGGAGAGCTATCAGCACCAACTGCAAGGCAGCCAAAGACACTCTGAAACTATTTCCCCTGATGCTGAACCAAGCGGCACTCAGTCATCCAGCTCTTTAGTTCCAGTCTATAAGGAGCCACTTAGCTAAAGGTGTGATTTATAATATGGCTAGCAGTGAAGTTGTAACCATGACATTAAAGTTCTCTGACATCTGTACCTGTTGAAATGAATGAGATGGAATCTACAGACATGTAGTGTAGAGGCACTTACTGTCATGCCATTGATTAGTTGGCTGAACTCAGTGAGAAAGCCTTCTGTCCCTGAGCTCCAAGTGATTGCTGCCTATCCTACTCCAATATGCTAAAATCCGGTAGAAACCATTAAACAAGATACACTGAAAACATTCTATCTATTTATTTATTTATTTATTTATTTAGTTTAACCTCACAAAAATGAATGATAGAAGGTTTTACTTTATAGAAGAGGAACAGACAAGCTGGAACAGTGAGCTGCCGTCCCCCATGAGCATGAGAGCTCCCTGTCTGGGAAAGCAGCTGTGATTCTGCTCACAGCTCTCTGGACCAAAATTATCAGAAAACAAGAATAAGGAATGACAAGTTAAGGAAACTTAAGGAAAGGTGCAGGTTCACACCAAGTGACTTAGTGATTATGCAGATAACCTGCATTTATTTTCCCTTTGTACTTTACAGTTCCGATATAAGCAAGCGCAGTTATTGAGCAGGGCTCTTGTCAAAGCATTCTCCCTAGCTCTATTTCCATCTTCTGTGTCTATTTCCAGTGTGCATTAAAATAACTTGAGCTCATTTGCAACATCAGCTCTGATCTGTAGCTACTGTTATTTTCATATCTAAAAATAATTCAATTTTATTTATAGCATTGTTTTGACTATCAAACTGCTGATGTCAACCAAAATCATAGAAAGAGAATCAATGACCAGGCTTAGATTATTTTCAACCACAGAAAAGAAAGTTTGACAAAAGTGATGATAAATCAGGATGAC